AGAGAGAGAGAGAGCCTCGCGACACGAACGAACGAAAACTCGACTCTCCTCGTAGCCGTTGAATCGTGCTAGATGAGTCTCGATTAAAATGTGCTACGAACAAGCGAGTACCGTAGCGTTACCGTTACCGTCGTTATCGCAAGTCGGCCGTACTCGTCGCGCCGAGGCGTCCCCGCGCGAAAATTGGGCAATAAATAACAGCGATTGAGACCTCATTATCGGCGAATCGATCAGCTCGCGACATTGCACGTTGCCACTTGGCGGTGTACCGCGCCGAAGCTGTCCAAACCCTGACACTTGCGAAAGCAAACACGCGGCGCGATTGATTCGCACGATTATCCGACCCCCCCCCCCTTACCCCCTATCCGATTATGCGCTGATGGTAATAATAATTGCACGATTATCGGTATTGTTACTATTATCACCGATACACCACCAGTGTTCCTTGATTGTTGTGACTGTTTCTACTCTCGTTATTGTTACCATTGCTAATACCGGTGAGCGATACCTCGGGATCGACGTGTCCGTCCGTAGCGTACTTCAAGTGTGACACATTTTCTAAATGGACATTTACAAACATATTCGTCAGTTACATCAGATACATCGATCACAAGCGTGTGTGATGCGCGACACGCGCTTTTCTCGCAGCGGTTTTCTTCCCCCTCACTCTCGGGAGAAATCGTGAAAAGAAAAAAAAAATGCCAAATAATAATAATATCAGGGGCCGATTGACAGCCCGTGACACGCGCAGCGGTAAATGAAGCGTCGTCCACACCCTCACACAGGCGTTTACACCGCGAGAAAGTAAAAAGAAAAGAAGGAAAAAAAATGGAAAAAAGTACGATGTCGGTCTTTGTTTGTTGAGCAAGCACTCTTGATAAGCACACTTTCTCTTTTTGCGAAGTTCGATGTCTGAATAGACTGTGTTTGTTTGTCTGTTTATTGCTTGCCCTACCTCCCGGTGGATTTTCTTGGTAAATTGAATGTCCTAATATGCCGTAAACACGTTTTGATTTTCTCTTCTTTTTTCGACGTACAAACGCTTCTCTTCCATTGTGTCTGGCCTGTACATACAGCACAAGCCCGTTCTATATGGGATTATGTTCCAAAAGCAGTAGATTGTCATTCACTTAGAGATATCTCGATACCCTAAAACTCTGTACATTTCGATGTAATTTCATATTTGCAACATGGTTGATCTTTCTCTCTCTCTCTCTCTTTCTCTCTCCCTTTCTATTTCTCTCTCTCACGAACACGTAAATACACACACACGACATATATTCATTCAGCATCCTAGACCTCTCCACCGCGAGAGGGATCATGAAATTAGGACATAATCGTAAGAACCGAGATTGGCAGCACACACGGAGAAAGAAAGAAAAAAAAGACAAAAGGTTCAACGGGCCATTTGGTAGCGAGAGCGCGGAAATAATGTCGTCTCGCCTGTGAATAACAATTTACCTTTGCCGGACTCTCTTTCCATATGCGTGCTCTGCCGTGCTCTGACGAAAGCGAGAATCGCGGGCGCTTGTCGGCGAATGTATGTGCTCGAAATCTATTATATATATATATATATATTCGCGCACGTGTGCAGAATGTTGTCCAAAAATTCGCGCGCGAGTTCGACTCGCTGCGCACGTATATGCCTCTTCCGTTCTCTTCGGGTGACGAACCAGCGTGGTACGTGGATGATATGCGCGCGTGTGCGTTTGTGTGCGTGCGTGTATGTGTCTGTTATCACGTTTTAGATTATACGTACGAAGACCGATTACGTGTTCCCCGAGATCTACGCGTATTTTCCATGCCGGGAATCGCATCTCATTTGCGACATTCTGCATACGCCCGTGTTACATCCGTTCATTATATTTCATTTCCTCTCTTCGTTTTATACGTATGTCTCTCTCTCTCTCTCTCTCTCTCTCTCTCTCTCTCTCTCTCTCTCTCTCTCTCTGTTTCTCTTTCTCTCTCTTCATTTATCGAAACATCATTCTGCTCGGAGCGATCTCTCAGCGCGTCGCGCTTGGCCGCTACGAGAGATCGTTACCGCGGCTCTTAACGATTGCAGGACACGGTGGCTATCAGAGTAGTAGGTTTGTATGTCCGCGAAGAGGGAAGTTGCGTGCTGGCTCTCCTCACGTGCTGTGCGTAGAGATTGTCTCTTGAACGCTTACTAGAAATTCTTTCTCTCGCGAGAAACGGGACCGAAACCGAATAGTTCGCCATTTGTAAACCAAATTATACCGCCGGCTAGACACGATATCCTTCCACGCACAAAACCGCGAGTCTCGACACCCGCGCGCTGCGGCTGATCCGGCTCTGGCTTTGTCGACAGGTTGAGAAACCCGTAACCGAGGGCCTCAGTCATCGTACGCGAGATCAATGGGAGATCGACCGTTCGTCGCTCAAGTTCCTCAGGAAGTTGGGCCAGGGCCAGTTCGGTGAGGTGTGGGAGGGGCTGTGGAACAACACCACGCCGGTGGCGATCAAGACGCTCAAGCCGGGCACCATGGACCCGAAGGATTTCTTGGCCGAGGCGCAGATCATGAAGAAACTCCGGCACAACAAGCTCATCCAGCTGTACGCCGTGTGCACGATGGAGGAGCCGATCTACATCATCACGGAACTTATGAGAAACGGCAGTCTACTGGAATACCTGCAAGGTACGTTTGAATCGCGTTACACTTTTTGCGGAAATTGAGGGAACCAGACCGTTGCTTATAGAGCTCGAAAACAAACTGTATGACTCGCTTCTTCTTTCCAGGCAAAGGTAGAGGCGTGAAGTTGCAGCAACTGATCGACATGTCCGCGCAAATAGCGGCTGGTATGGCTTACCTGGAGTCGCAGAACTACATTCACCGAGACCTGGCAGCCCGTAACGTCCTCGTGGCGGACGGCAACGTAGTTAAGATCGCCGACTTCGGCCTGGCCAGGCTCATCAAAGAGGACGAGTACGAAGCGAGAATAGGCGCTCGCTTCCCCATCAAGTGGACCGCGCCCGAGGCGGCGAATTACAGCAAATTCAGTATTAAGTCCGACGTGTGGTCGTTCGGTATCCTCCTCACCGAACTGGTCACGTACGGTAGAATACCTTATCCAGGTGGGTTCTTCTTGCCTTATCTCTTCTTTCTTTTCTGGATCTTGATCTCCGGCTGGATCATCTGAGAAAATCATTTTATGTCATCGTGAGGTGAATTAACGACACGGGAATGTGCTACCCCGACAGGTATGACGAATGCTGAGGTTCTTCACCAGGTGGAGCACGGCTACAGGATGCCGTGTCCGCCCGGTTGTCCGAGCACGCTCTACGACATCATGCTGGAATGCTGGAACAAGGACCCCATGAAGAGACCAACCTTCGAGACGCTCCAGTGGAAGCTCGAAGACTTCTTCACCATGGAAGGTTCCGAGTACAAAGAAGCGTCCGCGTACTGAACAAAGGATTTTCGAAATCTTCCACGTTTACATGGTACTCCATTGGGAGATGTGCGATAATAATCGGCACCGTCGTTATCGCGGTGGCGATGGCGGCACGGTTGTTGCTACGGTCTTCTTCGTTAACCATTCGTGACGCAGATCGTGCTCGCGGTACTTCCGAGAATACTGTGACCTTTACACTCGTACGACAATGATCATTTTACAAACGATCGATAGATGATAGCGCGATTTTATTTAACGTCAACTTTTTATTCCTCCTTCCCCCTCTTCCTTTCCCCTCTTTCATTCCTTGTTCCTTTCTCTCTCTCTCTCTCCCTCTCTCACTCACTCACTCACTCACTCACTCACTCACTCACTCACTCACATTTTTCGCTTGTCTTCCTCGTTTATCCCACGCCTTTATTTTTCTTACTTTTGCTCTTTTCTCTCTTTTTTCTTGTTTTTTTTTACATTTTCGTCTTCGTACATTCTGTCTGCCATAGAGCTCGAAGGACGCGATATTTGTACATTTTTACTTATCACTTGACGAACGTACGTCGTCGACACTTTTTTGATAATTCTCAGCGACGTGGTTTTAGATATCGTTTTAGACCGCAGTAAGGACGTTACTACGTAGACGTTAATGGCCTTTGTAAAATCGTTTATGTAAGTGTCAGCGTGAGATAGAAGCTCAATCGCGCTCGGACGATGCGCGATTAGGGTGGCAGTAGTAGCGATGTAATATATTCGTGTACAATATAAATTGTCCCTCCCGTGTTACAATTACACACACTATATATATATATATATATATATANATATATATATATTATACATATATACATGATATCGTATTATTTACATACACGTGTGACTATGAGAGAGCGACGAGACGACGGGCGCCAATTTTCTCTCGGCCATACCCGGCCGGCGATGCAGTAGAAACGACGGACCATGAATGCACAATTTATCATTCCTTCTCTCTTCTCGCTCGGACGCGATGACTCGAACATTCACGACGAACTCCCGCGAGGCAGATACGCGACAGTCCTCCGAAACGATCGTCTCGCGTACACATCATCTCGTCGCGTGTGCGTGTGTGTATGTGTGTACGTATTGCGGATCGTGAATTCGCACAATAATCGTTTCACCCGCGACAATGCGACAACGATGTGCCGTGACGATCGTCGAAACGACGCTACCTTTTCGCCTATCTCGTTTGGTTTGTCACAAAGCGACTAATATATTGTAAACTGCCAGCTGCGTTTTCTAAGGTATTTATCGCAAGTAAGATCACGATGAGACTTTCGGGCGCGCGCCCGAGGATAAGCTTATCGTGTTGGAGGAATCGTCGAATTTTACGTATTTCGAGAAGGGAATGTAATGTCGCACGAATCGCGTCATCTTCGTTGTTCATTCGGCCACGCGTTATCGGATTATCGTCATTTTTATATATTTTTATATCGTACCCTCAAAACGATGTTTACTACTCATTTATCGCGACTTTTCACGTTGGCGAGTCACTGAATTAAGAATAGTATATATACTATCCGTATACATATAAAGAAAGCGAGTAATACTTATATATACATACATAATATATATATATATATATATATATATATATATATGTATGTATGTATGTATGTATGTATGTATGTATGTATATGTGTGTGTGTTATGTGTGTGTGTGTGTAAGGTAAGTCGGATAAAAATTCACCACGTTTTTTCGAAAACGGTTAAAAATAGAGAAAGATATCCATTATATACCAAAAGTATAGGGCATATAGGGAGACCTGGATTGGTGATCTTAACTTCCTTGTGTAGTCAATAATTCAAGGTCATTTCAAAGTCAACTTCATTTGTAAGTGGAATCATATTTTTGTTTTAATACAAATCGATTTTCTTGTTCATTTTACGTACAAAAGTATTAGAATAAGATCATCGAAAAGTGAGTACTTTTTGAGGTATTTTATTTTTTATTCCGATATTTCTCAATATATACATGATAAGATATCAAGTATTTATTTGTCGATAACGTCATCTTCACACCTTTGTACGACTACGTAGAGATAACGTAGGTGAAATCGATCGCTGTAAACAAATAGAGAAACTATAAAAAAATTGATTACATTTTGCAAATATATCGATACACCAATGTGCAGTGATTAATGTCGGTAATCGACTTTTCTTATAGTATTATATAGAAAAGTATTTACTTTTCCATTACTTAGTTTCTATTACCTTAGAAAAGTATTCACTTTTCCATTACCATTTCCATTACCTTATTTTTATACGCAGAATGAACAGAAAAATTGATCTGTGTTAAAGAAGCTATGTGATTCTATTAAAAAAAAAAAAATGAAGTTGGCCTTGAATATTAACTATAAACCAAAATTAAGTATGTCCCGCTACGTATTCTGCACTTTCGATTATGGACGGTCTTTCCCTATCTCTGACAGTTTCCGAGAAAAACATGGTCAATTTTTTATCAGACTTACCCTATATATACTTCATAAATGTACGATTCTAATGGTACGATGTAAAGTTATATACAGATATTTTAGCAATACTTCAGAACCCTCTTGACACGCGCAGACACGCACGCATACACACAAACACACATACACGCACGCATGCACACAAACACACATACACACAAGCATGTACGGAATGTGCCAAAATCGTCGCCATTCCCTTAATCTGTCAATTCTATGGTTGACTCGGAATTGATCTTTCTGCAACGAAAACTATAATCGGTCATCCATTTTCCACCCACGATTATCTCGGATCCCACGCACCGATCATTTTCGAAAAAAAAAAAAAAAAGTCGCGGAGCGCGTTATTTTGTAATGCTAAAACATTCGGCGCCGAAAGGTCAACCTCTCCGTTTCGTCAGAGAATGCGCCTCCGAAGTTTGATGCAAATTTTACGAGGCACGTGCTCGCGTATACACGAGGCGTGCCGTATACATATATACATAAATATATATACACATTTGTATTAAATACAGCGTCAACAAGCATCCGTAATCTGTTCGGAAGTCAGAGCTGTGTTAATGGTACCAAATTAATCGTAAATTTCGAGAATGTGTGTCTACAGGCGGAACCATTAACGACAACTTTTAGTAATATCGTTATAGCTTCTCGACTCGTCGATCAAGTCTATCGTAAGAAGCATGATTTACTTCGCCTAAGTTCTACCTTTTATCCTTAAGTGTCTTCTTCCCCGTGAGAGGATTTAATAATTTAGAGAGAACAAAATAGAAGAAGAAAATATATACACTATTTGTGTAATTAAGAGAGTGTTACAGCGAGTGATTTTGCATTTCGATACGACTATTCGCAGGTTCCCGCCGAATTGTATGCCGAAAGCTAACACGGCGTCATCAAGTTGTGACAATTACGTGTAAGAAATAAATAAGATAAAGAGACTACGACTATAATAACAATAATAATAATGATGATGATGATGATGATGATGAAACATTATGCAACGATTTACAAGCACAAAACGGATGAAAGTTTACTGGAGCCACTATTAATCCTTATCATGGCGAGTTCTTTTTTTCTCTCTTATCGATTAAGAGGAAAAGTGATTTCCGTTGAAACTGCTAATTAACGATACACTGGAAAACCTGCGACGAGCGCAAGTGGAAGCGTCTCAGATGTATCAGAAAATATTCAGCGAAATAAACGCAACAGTTTTGTTTACGAAAGTGAAATCACTCGAGTGTCAATTTCTCGCCGGATAAGAATCGGCGATACTTGTAAGCGCGCACGAAGATAATTCTTATCGCCGGCGACGGAAACGTCTGCGGGATATTTAACACCCGGAAGATATTCGAGAACCTTTCTAAGTCGAGAACGAGCCGCAACTGTCTAAATATTCGAATTAGCTGTGCTTTGCACAGCTCAATTAGCGCAACGATAATCCTGTCATCCTATTATGCAAAATAGAAAAATATTAGAGAGACAACATCCGGACAACGCAGACTTCTACAAGATATACGTCTGAAAGATATCTGAAGAGATAAGATGTCTTTCTGGCATTTTTAAGACCCGTATTAGTAGTCATTGCTTGAAGCTGATCTCACGTGAGATATTTTTATCGAATTTGAATTTAGGCCCATATTTATAGTTGTTACTGGTGAAATTGCTCCCAATCAAGATACTTAGATTTAAATTCCGAATTGGATGTGAGTTTTTTCGATTAAACAGCGTTTACGAATATAATGTCAAATATATATGTATTAAACCCCCATTAAACACAGAATTTTCAACTAATTCAACTGAAAAGCTAAGATCTAACTCTGAATTAAAATCTGAATATCTCACGATGAGACGAGTTTCGAGTGACAATTATTAATACGAACCTTAGAATTAGATCCAAGTTTCTCGGTTGAATCACGCGACACATATTTGCAATCACGTACAATTTCATTGAAAAATTCGCCCAACTCAAAACTCAAATCCGAGTATCTCGTGTGAGGGAAGTTTCAAGTAATGACCTAATATCGGCGTAAGGCCTGTATCGATAATCGTAATTTGAAACTCGTACCAAGGTGAGATACTCGCACTTCCGAAATTTGAATTAGATTTATACCTTTCATTTGAAATTACAATATACACGCCGTGTTACATTTGCAACGGCGCGATTCAGCTGGGAAATTGACGTGTCGACTCGCAACTCGAGACCCGAATGAAAGAAATACGAGAGCCTAGAGGCATCCCCGTGTGGAAGTTTACGCTGCCGGGCAAATACGCGCCGCGGAAACGCCATGGGGCTCGACATGGCTGCTCTAGTGTCTTGCGGGCCGACTCACTAGGTGTATGTAAAGTCACCAGAGCGGCGCAGCGTCGACGACGACGACAGGTGTCTCGGGTCCTGCCATACAGGTGTTCAGTCGGCCAGTGGTGGTCAGAGCGGCGCGCATTCGTGCGTGCGTGCGTGCATGCTTGCGTGCATGCGTGCGTGCCTGCGTGCGTGCGTGCGTGCTCCGTTCCGTTCTGGTATCCGCGACGTCTGGCGTGCGCGCGCTCCAGGACGAAGAAATCTCTCTTTCGCGAGTACTTGTTCGCCGTTCTCCGTGCCGAAGAAACTATTCTCTATCCACACGGGCAGGCGGAGAGAGAAAGAGAGAGAAAGAGAAGAGTCGTGAGTGGCGTGCCGCGAGTGACGAGAAGAAACGCGACGCGTGTGTGCTCGTCGGAGTTCTGAATAATGACTCGGCCGAGGCGCAAAGTCATCGACTTGGGAATACCGAGAAGAGAGAGGTGAGAGATCTCTCTCTCTCTCTCTCTCTCGCTCGCTCACTCGCTCTCTCACATTTTTATTCCCTATCTCTCTTTCTCTCTCTGTCTCTCTTCTTCGAAGACTCTTCCGCTGCTTTCGAATAAAAGTTGAATTTTCACACGCGCGAAAGATCGACGGTGATCCACACGCAGGTCGGATCGATTGGACCATGAATTCGTGGTGGTGTAGTGGGATATTATGCTAATTGGCTTTACGGTCAGGATGCGGGAGGAAGAGCTCGAGATATCACTCAAGGTAATCGCGTGACTGCAGGTCCGCTGCTTCTTTTTTTTTCGCTACCCTATCTCTCTCTCTTTCTCTCTCTGTACTTCGTCCGCGCGATCTTTCACTTTTCCCTTCCGTTCCGAGCCCGCTTTTACCTTCTCCGAAGCTACATGCCTGTTTTATTCAAAGTTCGGCAAGCTCTCGCGGCGCGATCCTCCGGCTGGAAAGAACGGATCTTCCGCGCGTCTAACTGATTTGCCGCTTTTTTTCATTCACGCTTCGGCCACTTTATATGCGTCTCTCTCTCTCTCTCTCTTTCTCTTTCTTTTTCGTCCTCGCGCGCCGCGATTTTCCGGCAAGCAGCAAAAAGAGGAAAAAAGCAGTAACGACGACGACGGCGGCGGATCTTTCCTCGCATTCTCGCTTGCGCCGCGTGATGATACTCGGCGCGGAATTATTCCGCGGCGAGACCGAGACCGATCTCGACCGGTCGTTTTTCATCCGTTTTCTCCCGGCAGCCGCCGGCTCCTCGCTGGGCTTCTGATCGTCCCCGTCGAGTGAAAAATAGAAATCAACACACACAGATCGGTCTTTGCGTACGCGGATTCTCGTTCACGAAAGTGTCCGTTCAAATAAAGAAGATTATTATTATTCACGCTCGATCACGTCGTTTATCTTCGAGTTTGTCCATCTGTTTGAAATATATCGGCTCGCAAATCTCGCCTGTCATACACCTTATAATTCCTTCGATATTAACATATGCAAATCCACTCTTTATTCCGGACGTACGGCGCTCGTTTGTGAACCTCTTCATTTGATTACATTTGATATCGCGACACGCTGAATACATCATCGGACGTCGTTAGCATGAGAGACCGGGCATAAATTAATAATATATGATAATATTGGTAAAAAATGACATTCGATATTAACTTGGACGACGCGGCGGCCGTTGGATCGCCCCGAGGAGAGAGTTTCACGCACGATCACGCGCGTCGAGCCGATTCGAGATGGCAGGACGATGTGACCGGGCGAAGATTCGCGGAGATTCGTGTGTTACACAGTGGAAAAAAGCCACTCGTGGTGCACAATCGCGCGTGTCAGAACGTTAAATAATGATGAGTCAAAAGGAGCAACGGAGGACAGGGACACCGGTCTCGCCGATGCACGAGGGCTCGGTGCTGCTCCAGTGATCTCTACTTATCTCGCGATTGCCGTGTGTAACGGTACCTACTCGCATTTTCATCGCGTATGCGCCTCTTCCACCACCGGACCCGGAGCGTTTGTTATCCTTTTATGTTATTTATATGCAGGGTGTGCCGGAAACGTCGGACGGCCTTCATCCAGACGCGGTCGCGGTGTCTGAGATAATTCGAGAGTTGGCTTCTCCGCGACGGAAACGCGTAGCGCCTCAAACATTTCCCACCATAACATATCGCTGTATGACTGAGATCGGTATTAATAACCGTCACCTGAAACTTGTCCCGCGTGAGATTCTCGGATCTGAAATTAGATAGTTAGTTTTTCGTTGTTGTGAGATTTAACTAGAACAAGTAAACCGAAGTTTTCGTTTTAATGTTCTAACTCGATATTCTTAATAATGAAGTACTAAATTTACTAAGATTTAGAATAGATTTCGAACAAATTCGATGATTATGATAGACTTATGTGAAATACTTGACACGAGTAATAATTTATATTTCAATGCACAATGCATTTTTCCGTGTGTATGGGTCTTAATTGATTAAATTAATTAATATCGTATCCAAATTCATATTCACATTCAGAGCGAATGTCTCGCTTGAAACAAGTTTCAAGGAGCGACTATATTGACGCAGGTTTGAGTGCTCAACTGACATTCACGGATCAAATCCAGCTAAAAACGAGCGGTCGCTCCGGCGCGCACTCGACGCCTCGAGGCGACGAGCCCATAAAAAGTCATATGCTTTCGTTCGCTAATTACTAGAAAGCCTACCGTCGACCGTCGACGATTTCGAATTAGCCGAGGCGCCCGTTGCCAAGGCAGCCCCGGTGGTTTCCGAACGCCCTGTACTCCTCTCGTGCCCGCGGTAGCACCTAGGCTGGAAACCAGTCGAATGCAAAGATGTAGAAATATACGAGAGTCCTCCCCCCGGTCGCTTACACTACCGGATGGATAATCAGGACGTGAAAAATTATCCGGCGGCACTAAGTCGATATTAATTTCGCCGCACTGACGTGCGACGAGTGCTTCGGCGTCGTCCGATTCAATGTAAAGATGCACTAACAAGCATTCCGTAGATTCCACGGCGAGCGGTGAGTTATGCGCGTGTGTGTCAATTTATATTCTAAACCGCGCCCGCAGAGAAGCGAGTCTGTCCTTGACGACCGGTTCTTTTTTTCTTTCTTTCGTGGACTTACGTTCTTGCTTTTATCTCCTTTTTACCGGCGTAACCCACTTCCTACCTCGCCCGACACGCTGTCGCTCATATTCGGTGAAATTATTCGACCTGGCGGTCCTTGATCGACCAACCGAACGATCGATCGTCGCCACGGATCTGCGAGGAACAAACGGGTTCTCGAGAAAATACTTGACGTGAAATCGACGGATTCCTCGTGGAAATATTAACCGGTGACTTGTTCTTTCTCTCTCTCTCTCTCTCTGTCTCAGCGGAATTTTCCCCGACTAATTCACAAATAGATGAAATCGGTTGGTCGAGTCGTTAATTACACAGTAGACTCCATTAATAATGTCCCATTCCCTACCTTAAGCAGAAAATCCTTAACACTACGTTATTTACAACGATATTTTATAACGTGTGACGTTTTCACATATATATAATTCTTAATGTTGTACACAACGTTGTTACTGTTAACAATATCCGACCCAAACATTAAAAATATTTCGGCACTATGATTTTAATACTTAGGAACATTATATTATCAAGTAAAAACAGTTTAAGAACACTTATATAAAATATTATGTTAAAATGTTTATGAAATCCGTATAAAATCGATGTTTCGAAAAATTGATTTAATGTTTCTTGCTTATTATTTAATGTTTCTTGCTTATTAGGCATAGCGAGATCGAAAATTTCCAATCGGGAGTATTATTTATGCATCAAGGCTGTCGATGATTTGATGGGTCGGCAACGATTCCCCAAGGCAGCAGTCATAATAGCAGCAGCGGACATAAGTGTTTATGCATTATGACTGCTGCTTTGGGGGAATCGTTGCACAAGTATTGAAAACTAACCGCGCCTAATTGGGAATTTTCAATGTTACTATGCCTAGGTAATGGGACAGCATTAATGGAGTCTGTACGCACGCGAGATTATTAAGGCTCATTCGTGCAGTGGGAGGTAACGCTTATATGTCGATTAATGATGCTCCGCTCGGCGATGCCTTCTTAATGAACGGTACATCTGACGCGCGTTTCAACATTTCTTGCTCAGGTGGTGATAGTAGGCAACGGCGCCGTGGGGAAGTCGTCGATGATCCAGAGGTTCTGCAAAGGCACATACACGAGGGATTACAAGAAGACGATCGGCGTCGACTTCCTAGAGCGTGAGATCGAGTGAGTAAATTGCCGGTAATATCGAGGTGCCGCGCGCACCTCGCACATAGTCGTTCCGACACCGAAAATTGCTATTCAACGAGCGCGTCCAGTGGGAGAACAACGGGCTAAATCCACGAGGAATTCCGCGACATCGTTCATTCGACGTTAATTCATCGTTCTTTATTTATATTCGCCGTGCTCTCTGAGGGAAGAAGCGTTTTGTATATCTCTAATTGTAATCGCATCGCGAAAGAATTATAGTCTTTTAGTACTGTTATTATTTCTATGATGATCGCAACGTGCAATAATTTACGACCGTTCTCGGCATTTCTGTAGTGATAAGTTTGGTTACTACACACGGGGAAAATATACAGGGTGTCCCAGATTAACAGGGACAACTTCGTGAATTGAGATGAACAAAAAGATTCGAATTGTTTTGCAGACAACATGCAGAATTTCGATTTATTATTAAAAGTGGCTATGCACAGAGGCTTTTTTAAATTAATAATTCCCAAAATTTGCGTGTTATTTGCAAGCAAAATAATTTGTAGATTCAGCAGGATAATCCAGCGAATGGCGATTCCTAGGAGATCAGTTTTGCCGTACTCCATGTAGTAACCGACAGATTTTGTTGCGACAGCATCAAATTTGCCGGCGAATTATTCTTTTCCTCCGTACAGTGTTAATGGTAATAGCCTTATACGCATATCGCTGATCTATTACCTTTTTGGTGGAGCAACAAGATGAGGTGGTAGTCGGCGCCGAAATTTCAGCGATATTAATCAAGCGCAACAAGATGAGGTGGTAGTCGACTGTAATTTTCGCGATATTAATCAAGTTTTGTTTCCCCTCTCAGTATAGACTCGGTCCATTTTTCACCGTGAATTCCACCGCGAATGGCTTCTCGCTGAAATGGCCGAGCGATCGCCGTCGCGACGCTAGTTAAATCGCCCCCGATTATTACACCGCCGAGCTGATTATTCGCCGCTGATCATCATCGTACCGCTACGTGCATGTACATGAGCTCGAACGACGGTGCCTGAGAAAGAGCCGATTTTAATCGTGCCGACGCGCGAGCTATCGTGGGATACTTCTCGTACCCCCACACCCAAACACCCAGGCGGCGGTGTGTAATGTCGGTCAATATAAAAAGGAGATTTCGTCTCGCTGCACGCGACGCGCTTCGGCATCCATCATTCGCTTCGTTCGCGCGCTTGGAGGCCGCGCAATTCGCGGCCGGCGTTCCAATTAAACCGGCGAGAAACCCACAATTAATCGACATTGAAATTAGCAAACTCGAGGGTGCGCGTGAAACGAGCCAAGTTTATCCGACGAAAGACGATCGTCCTGTACGAAGAGAGAATTTTATTTGTATTCGATTTCTTGTTCTATTCCATTTTTTATCGTATTTAATTTTATATTTCAGTGAATGTGGAATCTTCGTAACGGAGGGATGTATTTCTTGGCATTCTGCCATTATTATCCTTTATTTACTTATTTCTTTATTATCTTTCTTATGTGTGTTTCACATGTTATTTATATTTTGAAGACTGAAGCCTCCGCATTTTAAAAAATACTACGTTTTGTAGCGAAATAAATTCTACTGATAGTCTATCCCTGCTAGATAACTAAAATAATATATAAATAAAATATAAAGAATTTATATAAAAAGAACTATATATATACACAGCCATGTATAAAAAATATATATATACTCTCCGTGTAGGTTGTCGGTGAATGGAACATTGTCGTGAAGACGTGTGGTCTGTTTTAGCTGAACTGGCGGACTAGTTGAAAAAGTTTACATACATAAGTATACACACTGAAGCGTATAAAGTGCACGAGATTCTCACGCTTCAGTGTGTATAAACTTTATGCACTAGTGTAACGAGTTCGGCTAAAAAAAGAAAAACAGACCAATGATGAACGAATATAAAAATATAGAAATAAATCGATCAATACATTGTACGTGTGTTGCGCCGACAGAGTCGACGGCGAGGATGTAAGACTGATGCTGTGGGACACCGCAGGACAGGAGGAATTCGACGCGATTACGGCGGCTTATTATCGCGGTGCTCACGCCTGTGTTCTCGCTTACTCGGCCACCGACAGGGACTCCTTCGACGCGATTCCGTCGTGGAAGCTTAAGGTACACGAGTCACCTCGCTGTTCGTCCGTTCGCCTCTCGAATAAATAGCTCGACGTAGGCGATCTATATTGGGGATTGTATCGTCGAAAATAGACCTAACACGTTCGCTACACACCGATTCATTCTTACGAGAGACTGACGTCATATCTATCTATATCTATTACAGCAATCATTTCTCATTCAACGTCATAAACAAATTAAGTCTGAGTCAGATGATCATAAAGTTCTTTGGTTCCATTTATAATTTGAAAAATGTCCCCAAAAATTGTGCTATCATTTATAAACTTTAAACACTTGTAAATGGACAATTGTAACTTTTTTCAATGGTTTGGATGCATTACATCTTAAATTTTATACAATGTGTCTTGTAACATCTAGTATAAAAACAACGGACAAGAGCCAAATTGCAGGTCTGTGATTTGTATATATTTATAATATAATTTCGGCTTAACATAAATAATGGCCGAAACATTCTAATGCTAAAAGTTAATTAATCGGTACCTGTGTGCGTGCACTATATTGCAAATGTACGCAGATTAGACCTGTACTTTGCTTTCTTATTGTTCGTTGTTTTTATATATATTTGAGAATTAAGAGAAATATATAGTTCATTTTATGCTATTACATAAAAAAAGGTACAGGATGATTTGTAGCGGAACAATTTCCCGAATGAACGGTGGTAGCGAGTATTAAGGTCGCGTTCCTCCTGTGTGAAGATTTTTTCTTTGTCTCTTATAGGTGGAGAACGAGTGCGGGGAGATTCCCACGGTCTTGGTGCAAAATAAAATCGACCTCGTCGACCAATGTGTGATCGATCCGTGAGTGCTTCTCTCTTTCCCTTTTCTACTTCTCTGAATCGAGTCCACTTTAATTAAGATCGAGTTACGTGTGATTAAACAATCTCATCCTGATATATCGCAGGGACGAAGCCGAGAGGCTCGGCCGCGCCTTAGGCTGCAAACTCCTGCGAACATCCGTGAAGGAGGACATCGGCGTGATGAGCGTCTTCCGGCACTTGGCGTCGCGATGCCTGCATGACATGCGCCGCTCCGACGACGACTATCAGGACGACCTGCGACTGTACTCCGCGGAGCCCAGGTCCCCCGCAGTCATCAGTGAGTACGATTCGTCTCGCTTCACTGCTGAAAACGCACAGAAGTGCGTCGAACGGCGTCGATAAACGAAATAAAGAAAAAAGAATACGAAAAAGACCGTTAAATAAAACGTCGAAATTTCGAGGAAAACTGAGATGCCGCCATTTTAATTGTCGTTACTTGAAACTCGCCTCAAGTAAGACACACGGATTTGAGTTTAAATCCGTATATAATAGTCGTTACTTGAAATCCTTTCTCTTTCTCTTCGAGAAATGTCTTATACATAAATCTGTCTTATATATGAATCAACGAAAGATATTTTCATATATAAACAAGAATATTATAATATTCTTGGAAGATTTTTAGTCTTGAATTGTGCGCAAGTAATATTTGCATTAATACAAATTCAACCAGATCAAGATTAAAAATTTCCTAAGAAGAATATTATATATTCTTGTTTATATATGAGAATATCTATCATTGATTAAAGACTAATTATTTTTTGTATATTCAGATCCGAATTTAGAGTTAAATTTGAATTTTCTATTTTTGAACCATATAATATATACTACATTATTTTTGTAAGCGCGATTCATCTGAAATATTCAAATCTAACTTTGATCTGAATTTAAGTCTAATTTATATCTGAATATCTCGAAGCAAATTTCAAGCAATGACTATTAAATACCGACGTTAGAGTTAGATGTCAGTTGAATCGCGATTATATTATTATTAATATCGTTATTTCACATAAGTAAATTTCTAACGACAACTATTAATACGGATCTTTCTCGGATTATTAATCTTAGCTTACAGTTTTACACTTACTTCTTAGCTTTGAGATCTCCCTTGAGCCGAATAAAAAATAACATCTCCACTGTTTTATCGTAGGTGCGTTTAATCCGGACGGCTCGATGTGCGGCCGCAACGCAGGCAACGGCACGATAATCCTACGACCGGGCGGCAAGACGAAGAGCCACAAGAAGCGGAACTTCGTGAAGAACGCCTGTAGACTTTTGTAGCGATTTCTCTCGCGTAACGTTACGCACGAGAATAACGTTGCCCACGTCGTTACGCGTCGGAGGATCGCGCGTGCCGGCGGTTTAATACGGTGGTGCCTCTCGTACGCGTGATAGTTGTAAATATACATAGTTAGTTTTTATTCCGTATGCGTAAAAACGGTGATCTTATAGTGTCCAATTAAAGTGTGAACCGGCCGGGTTTCCAGAATGGACGGTCACGTGTGCCGTATAAGAGCAATGCGATGTAGTGACATCGTTCAACATCGGGGACTCGTTAATTTATACGCAAATAGAGTTAATACGCTCGTAATGTTAACCAAATGGTTTGTAGATCGTACAAGGTAATCCAAGAGAGAGAGAGAGAGATCAATTATCGCATATTAACTACGTGATCGTGTGTACTCGCGACCGCGAACGGGAACGGTTGATAGAGGATGCGGTTTGACGCGCAGTTTGTAAATATCTCCCTTCTCGGTTTTCTCTTTTTCTCCTTTAATTTTCTTAGAAAAATACGTTTCCTCTCTTCCAACGCTCACGTCGTACATTACAGAATAAGTTGTACGCTATTAATTGTAAACGTTCACGCTACAAATGGTAATACTAATAACTATAACAATACAATAACACAGTTATTTACGAAGCAGCGAGTCGAGATCGGCTTAAGGTCCTTCATTATGTAATTGCGACTGCGAATGAAAAAGCGTCAAAACGGCCTCAGGACTTTCAAGCCGGAATCGAATGAAGCGAAGATGTACCCCGAAACACGCGGAAGTTAGTAGTACAAATCACGATCTTAGTGCGAAACATTATACAGTAAGTGACTTAAAGTCTATCATATGCCGTATTTTTTATTATATTTAATTATTACAGAACACAATGAGTCTTTGTACATTTTGCTAGAAACAAAATAAATCTCTGACAATGAAGCGCTATCGAGGAAAACGCAGAGACGTCCAAAATATGATCAGCACAGCGCGAATAAAAATTCAAAAAAAAAAAAGGAGGGAAGAGCGAGGACTTTGAGACTCGAAAATATACACACACATACACACGAGCGTCGGTCGGGAAAATGCGAAGTTTCGAAAGTACAGAGATATGACTTCGCGATTTCAAAAGAAATCAAATGAAATCGTTGCTTTCTGACATCACTCGAAGCAGAGATTAGCTGAGTGATGCTCCGGTTTGAAACAAACAAGCTAAGAGAGTGCAAAGGCTCTCATTGGATGTTCACTCTATATAGAATGTCACATCGTCGTGTAACATAACAGTTCTAAATTTCTCGTATGTACATGACTTCTAAAAACTTCGATACTTTATTTCGAAATGTACAATGCATCGGAAAACTGTCGTCAGTGTTAGACATCACTTTTTTCGAGTGAAGATAGACCTCTTTGCTGAAGTGCCGGGACGCTAGATGTGTCTTAAAATGTGTTAAAACAGGTCTTCTTTTTAACCATCGAGTTAAGAAGAGAAATCGTAGGCAACGTTGTGTCTGCTATGTCGCTAAATCCTGCTTGGTTCTATACGGTAATGCTTCACGCGGCGATTCACTCGTAATTTCTATCAAAGAAGGATATCATGATCGATAAATCATCGCGGCCTCGCGGGGAAAACACAATGAATGTAATTTGCCGGAGATACACTCAGGGGTATGCTCCCTAAATTCGCTAAAATTGAGATAACGCCGTTAGGTTTCTCTGTCGTAAGTACGAGTGTCGTAGCTTAGCCGGGAAACTTTCTGTTTTCATCTGAAATCCGATCGATTGCAAAAAACGCGCAAACATCGTTAAATTTATTCTGTTGGATGATCTCTTTCTTTTCTCGGCCACGGGCTTCACTGTAGCTCCAAGATGTGCATCTTATCTATGTAGTCGAGCAGTCCCTGCAACCTCTTCTTCACGCGCTTTTGGTCATCCATCGTGCATCCGAGAATGGCAGTCTCAAAAATTTTATCGGAATGTCCTATGCCATGGGAGGAACACGCGTTCATGAACTCTGCGCACCTCTGTCGAGTACCGCTGGGATCTTGACGCAAACCCACGACTAAACCGTCAATGAGGCCATTAACCTGGAACAAAATGCAACACGATATCGATCATTCGTCTCTGAAATGCTCTTACACTAAGTGCTTCTAGAATTCTAAATACCTGATGTAGTGCTTCCTGCTGAATATGATCACGTTGGACTTTCACCAATACATCCACGGTCAAACATCGCATGGACAATCTCTCAGCATACCTTAAGACATCATCTCTGTCGGCTATATGGAAATAAACACACATGAGACAATTGCTGTTGATATTGTTATAAACAAATTTATGAAATTAAGTATTTCAATCTAAAGAATGATATGGCTAACAAATATATATGTTAGAATACTAATTTTGAACATATTATTTCCTTATATTATTATAGTCTATCTAGATATCTCCTATCTGATATTTATCTTGTGTTAGTAAAAAAATACCTTAGTCATCTTATATTAAATCTGTTGTTTTTATTTGTGCTATATATATGACACTTTCTTTTTATCTAAAATAAAATAAATACATTATATATATATGAGATTTGGCAGAAAGAAAAAAACAGAAATCAGGATGGAATTACAGAAAACGCAACTAAAAGGAAGACAGGCTTGCTCGTAACTCCTCTTTTCCTTTTATCTCTTTCCACTTCGTTTCATCTGCATTTGAAATTCTAGAGAGCTACCGTGCCATAGAAGGCTGTATATTCTCTAGCGACATTCTAGAGCCTTCACCATCGATCGTGATGACGAAGGTTAAATTAAATTACTCACGCTCTTCGAGAGTGCACAGGAGATCGTTATTCCGGAGAGTGTCTAACGTGGTCAGGAGACTGTCCTTCTCCTCCTCGAGCCTAGAGGCATCCTTCCTCAATTGTTCTACGTGCACCTCAATTTGATCCAACAGGCCGACTAACCTATCTTTCGGCTTCAACTCGTTACTACATTGTTGTTGTTCACTCTCCATATTGAGTATTCTCGTCTCTCATCAATTCCCCGGCGAAAACAGTCCGAGAAAATTTTCTCCCCGCTCTCTCGTTAACGACGACGATGACGATGCAGCGCGAAGCGCGGGTCGCACTAAACGCTCGCGCAATCTGTAGCGAGATGTGATATGTTGAATTCCTGTAAAATGTCGCGTTGTACGCGCTCAATTCAACGCCATTCGATTCGATTCGATACTCGACTCATCCGATACGATTCACAAGAAGAACCGAACAAAGTGAAACGCGGCTAAAGTGAGACAATTATCTCGCCTATTTCCGCGGATCTCGATTTGAGAAGTCTGCGTCAAGAACAAAGTCGATTCAAATTCGAATGTCTACGATACACCTTGGCGAATTCAAAATCTCGATCTCTGCACTTTGTCGTGATCCATGTGAGTTTGTACTGGACAAATTTTCGTTTGAGTCACGTGATATTTTTATTTTTAAGTAGCGCGAGAAATCGAACAGCACAGGTTAACGATTCATTTTTTTTTAAATTAATCGATCGAATACCATTAGAATATCGTTCGGTCCGATCAGAGATTCATTTATTTGTCGTAGCCACCAAGTAAGCCTGTTCTACAACTTTTAACAGTAATGTCGTCATCGATGTACAAATATAATGTGGTAGATAAGCTGGGCAACGACAATATAACGATAATGATACTGTCGTTAAAAATAACAGAACAAACTTACTGAGTGATTTGAACACAATGATTTGAGTGCACTGGAACAGAGAGCACAATTCGAATGTACGGCACCGGAAAAATTCTCGCTTGACACGCACTAATGCAAGTGGTCGAATTCGCGTTGACTTAACTTATCTTAGCGAGATCTATCTCTTAGCGAGAAATGATAAACTTTAATCATGAATCATCTGAAGACTAGAAATTCTTTTTACAGTTTAAAATGTTTCTCGGATCATCGCATTATCGTTATTCTTACCGAAGTCACAGCCTGCTGAATTTCGCCTATTTGTCGAAATAGAGTAAAACTGCGTCTGTCCTGCCGTTCACTCGTACTATTCGAAAGTATAAAATGGAAGTTTCACTTATCGTTGAGTCGTATTCCGATGTTAATTTTTTGTCAAAGATGGTGGCGACTCGTGGCGGAGACTTTGGAATTAATAAAAATAACGGGCCAATCTCTAGACTCGATAAATTAATTAACGGCCTAACTGACTCCATCTAATGGTGTCACCGATAATCTCGTTGAGACTTACTTCACCGTTGATCAGTGAGCAGTCAATGACTGTGTTCAGAAAACACAAACGATCATTGATCGGCCAGTGATTATTGGTCTTCACTGTTGGATCCTTAAATTTCGATCAATTATGTTGACAAATTGTTCAACCGTTGTACAACCGTTGTGTTTTTTGAACGCAACCAATGGGTTCATTCAGTATTACCACGCTCACTGAGCGCTCAGTGAGCTCTTGCATCTGATTGGTACATATTTTGAAAACTAAAAGTATATGCCAATCAAATGCAAGAGCTCAGAAAACAGAGTAGGACTAGGCTGAGTTCCAAAATTTTATTCGACGGGTAGAGTAGTAACATTTAATTGACCAATCAGGATGAAGGAGTGAAAATTTCTGTATCATGATTGGTTAGTTAAAGGCTACTCGTATCCATCGAGCAAGATTTTGGAATTGGCCATTATAGGTAAGTTTATTGTATAGGTTGGCGGGACTGAGGAAAGATGTTGGTTTACGTAGGCGTAAAAACAAAGGCAGGAAAAGGTTAAGAGAGTGCGAAGAATCTGATTTATTTTCGATACGAGATATATCGGACAAAATGGAGAATAGTGAGAGCGGAGATGACGGTGGCCCTTTAGGACCAACAGCGTTTCTGGGAGGAAACAGTGTCAACACGTCTTACATCGGTGTTCAATCGGACGATATGGAAGGTAGGTTAGCGTTAGTCTAGTCACGATTAAATTAAGGTTTATATGAATTTTTGTTATGGATCTAAATATATCGTTGAATCTTTAATCTATTATATTTTTAATGTACAAGTTATGGGTCTCGTTAAGTAATAGGGTATTAAGGTAGAAGCACATAAAAGAGAATAAATAAAAAGATCGATATCAAATATAAAATAATTCTATTCAGTAGAAAGAATGCAAAACGCTAATTTATTGTTGTTTTCCGTTAAATACAACTTGTAAGGAATAATATTTCAAACTATTCTGGAACATTTTACATATATTGTTTGGGAAATTATGTATAGTATAATTTCATATTAAATAAAGAATATATATTTTGAATAAATTAATATAAATATATAGGTAAATGATACAGACAATATGAAAGAGAAAAATAGTAAATAGATGAATAATAATAAATAAATAATAAATTATATTTGTGTCTTCTATGTATATATATATTGCCTATTTTATACGAGTACAATTAATAATTTATCTCTAAATATATTGTTATTGATTCAGTCATGTTCTTTTAACTTTACTGTAAATTAATCTTCTACTTGAAAGTTATTCTTAAATCGTTATCCGTCATATCTTTAATCTATTGCTTGTACGTCCCATTAATTCTAATTGGAGTATATGAAAGTAAAAATATATGTGTTTATATATATGTATCGATCGCACGTATTTATTAAAAGACTGATATTTGTATTTTAATAGCATATTTACATTGTCAATCCTCTCTGTAAATCACCACAAGTCGCAAAACAAATTCGTATATATCCTTGGGATATTAACAATATACATAAATCTTAACAAATGCTGTTTTTCCCTTCAACAGATGACCCTGAGAACACAGATGACTCTAACCACGGTACCGGGGATCCGTTGCAGGGCACCGGTGGTACCGGTAGTAGCGCGCCCCTTCGAGAACAGGATCGCTTTTTGCCGATAGCGAACGTCGCGAAAATCATGAAACGGGCCATCCCAGAGTCCGGCAAGATAGCTAAAGATGCACGAGAGTGTGTACAGGAGTGTGTGTCTGAGTTTATATCGTTTATCACCTCGGAGGCGAGTGACAGGTGTCACATGGAGAAGCGTAAGACTATCAACGGTGAGGACATTCTGTTCGCCATGACCACCCTCGGCTTCGACAATTACGTCGAGCCCCTCAAGATGTATCTACAAAAGTACCGTGAGGCAACGAAAGGAGACAACCCACCCAACACCACCGGCGCGATCACTGGCAATGGTAAAACCGAAGCGCAGACCACCATATACGACGACCCGATATTCACCATATCGACGGCCTCAGGCGCTGCCACAGCTGATACCACTCCCGTAATCTACAGTTACTCTTCCAACGAACAAATGCAGTTTCAGCTTTCCTGATCACTGCAAATTAAAGTGATATCGTTATATATTTGTTCTAAGACACACTGTGTGACGTGTGAGGACACGAGAACAACGACTTCGTACCGTTGCCGTACAAAACCGATCTTGCGGAACAGAGAGACTGTCAGACGCGCGGCTTGGGGGTAGCGAAGTATGTAATTTAACTTCCGAATGTGACGCACGTGGTCACAACAGAATCACCGGGACTAAAGAAACTGGGAGAACCGAAACAGTATCGCGCTGAAATAACCTCTTGTAAGCAAGTTAGAACCTTGGACAGAGCAACTTATGTAAGCATGGACACAAATAAAACTCGAGAGACCTTTCGTGAGAGAGAGACACCCGTCGGCGACGGTGATGGTTCCTTTACTTCTTCGTACACACGACGAAAAGGGTAGAAAAACACGGCCGATTCCTTTATTTCTCTATTGTTAAGCTCTAGAAAAACGCATTTAGAGGCTACGCTTTGTTTTAGGCTGCGGTGAGTCTGCGACAAGAGAAAAAGAACGGTTCAGGCCGCCGCGACTGGGTAAACTAGATCGAGCGTCGGGCGAGAACCGGCAGTAGATCGGCGTTTTATAGAATTCATTTCGTAAAAAACGTTCGTTCGTTCGGATCGTGACGGGTGTCGCTTCACTCCGGCAATTGGGCGGGCGAGAGCAGGAGCTCGTGTCCCTTCGTCGCCGGTGACACGGAGCGGCTCGTAGGCGTGGCCGGTTGCCGATTCTGTTGATAGTGCCGCTGTTGCTGCGACGGCGGCAACAACGAGGCGGTCGACAACGTTCCCGTCGGCCGTGCCTCGGCCTTCCTCGCCTTCTCCTTCTTGCGCGTGGCTACTTGACAGAATCGCCAGCGGCACGGGCCGCATCGGCACAGGCAGAGGCACAGTAGTATGCGAAACAGACAGCAGAGCAGCCCGGCGCAGAGCAGCGACGGGCCGACCAGCCTCAGCTCCGGGCTGAGGAAGCCCTTCTCCCCGGTGCCGACGAACGAGATTATTAAACCGAGCGCCGTGGTCCCTAAGCCCGCGTACAGCACAGTATTGACCGCCGCGCTGACCTCTCCTCTTCGCCGTATCGCGTTGCTGCTGTCATCTTCCTCGTCGTCCTCGCCGCTGCTGCCGTAGCAATAACTCGCGTCCCGTATCTGCAACAGAATTTCCCGCGCTCTTTTCGGGCCCTTCTGCGCCGGTGATCGCACACGTCGAGGCACAATTTGGGAAAAAAAAACTCGTAACGTCGTTCGCCTTAAATTCAATGTCGCTCACCCCACGCTGTATTTTTCTAGTATCTGTACTTAATGCGCGCGTGTTTGCATCCGTGCACGAATAAGGGGTCTGTTCTTTGTCGCTGACACATTTGTACATTTTCGGCATTTAAAAGGGAACAGGTATATATAGTTGTGACTTCGTCGTAGAGAAGAGGGAATTAACGCGAGCTAGTACAGCCGGTTCAACTATAAAGAACAGGCCTAAGGTGTGTTGACCCTGCCGGTCGCGTGGATGAAAAGCGTCCACTTTCAGTTGACATATCTTTGATAAAAAAAAAATCGCTTTAGAAAGCGGATAGTATTTATTTGTATGGATGACTCGCAGATAATAGATCGTAATTGAAACGAACGAGAGCGGTAATTAACTGACAGATACATGGAGGCGCAAGATGAGTGTTTGTTGGTATTTTTCGGAAAAAATACAATTTAGTGTGCACGAGTGATACCTGTCATCCGCACGACCATTGTTGAGTTAAATAAGTGAATTTCGCATTTTACGTGATGCGTCGCTCATGTGTGACACTGGTGAGGGGTGTCGTACGAATGATACGTATGTGTGACGCTCGATAGCGAATGTGTTGTCTGAGAAGGACACGTAGGTTAAACGTAGAAACGAGAACTCCCTCTTCTTCTGTTTATCCTGCGGTTATTCGTTCGTTTTGTATTCATTTTTCCCTCTCCGATGTGTCTCATAGATATAGGAATTACGTAGAAATATGTAGAAAAAAAAATAGCCGCATCGTTTCAGATGCGTGTCTGTATCGTATTCTATGACAAGTACAAATAACATTTCCGTTTTCTCCCCTCAAAATCCGTGTGTCAATTGTTGAGATTGATTCGTATAGTTTTCAAGTTTCGTATAAAACCTCCCCCCCCCCCAATTTCTCCTCGAGTTTCTTTGGTTTCTCACCTTCTCTACAGAAAATAAGTAAATGCGGCAAGTTCAAACTGAAAATGAATCTGTTCGAATTTTTGTACCCTTACGAACCGAGGAAATTCGCAGAAATATTGGGAGGAAATGATTTTTCTTCCGAAATTTCATGACTATAGACATTTACCCTGTTCCTCTTCATCCAACGCCGATGCGCTTCGCATTGCTTCGTCTTGTAGCCATCTCCGCGATATCCGGGTGATGCGGGGGATAGAGGAAGCGAAGGTCGGTTGCATCCTTGCCATGCTGCTTTACCGCCGGGTCCCTGACCACCGCACTGAAATATGTGACTCTCAGACATATCATTGGTCAAGTGATTTAAAAAAAAAAGGCGATCTCACTATGAATCGCTCTTTACACCGGTCCCCTGTGGTCTCCTGTTAACGCGATTAATCGACGCTCCGAGTCGCTTCGTCCTTTAGAAAAGAAGAGGTAACAAAGGCAAGCCGGTACCGAATCGGCGTGCACAAGGCGAGCGTTCGGCTTTTACTCGCCTTCATTCTCTCCCCCCCTCCAAGTTGTGATTGATGCCTTGGGAACCTCCCCGAACTGACTTCGCTTTGCTTCTCTCTCTCTCTCTCTCTCTCTCTCTCTCTTCCAGCGAAGTCTCTTTTCTAACGTATGTTCTACAGTCATATATCTTGTGTATAACATATATATATATATATATATATATATTATATATATATATTTGATTTTTCTACACCGACTGTGTGAATTATATATACTTTTGCGCTAACTTCTTCTGAAAGAATACATGTGCAATTGGAGACATCGCGACTCCAACGTGGTGTCCTGAATCTTCTATAGCTCCTGCGAGCATCTTCGGTATCTCCATCTTCGTGTTACATGAATGAGATGAAATGTTAACTCTCTAATAGCAAGGTGGATTTTCGAAGCGTCTTTCAAAATGTTTCACTGCAATTATTTCAAGTCAGCATAAACTTTATCGCACTCTTCTCATGTATAAATAAACAGAGGAAGAAATTTCTTCATTCACTTTTTATTATTTACTTCTTTCACCCGTTTTGTACTTCATTAATTAGATGAGAAATAAATAAAACCGAGCACCGGGTCGGACCCGACCCCAACCTTATCATTAGAGGGTTAAGTCGTATTCCGGATGGAAATGAGACGAATATGGAGGGACGTGGTCCGGCCTGATAAGGAACGTTCTCATTTCACCTGGAGAGATTGTCGGTCATGACCAATTCTGAGCGCGATCGAAACTCAGAGGAACGTCGAACGGTGAGAACTATATGCGTGTGATCGATATCCGCAGGACTCCGATTCGCACACAGAAGGGACTCGGCGGACTGCTTCCGGTTCTTGGAAGAACCCCGCGTGTAACCACGCTACGCTAATCTACGGTATTCACGCAAAGGGATCGGGAAGTTCGAGCCCTTCGACGAGCGACGAGAGTCGAGTTTTACGATCATTATACTTACCCCGTACACGTAAGATCGTGGGGGATACCGTGGAAGCGGCGGAATAAGTCTGGTGGCGAAGTTGGAAGGTAATTCTCTAAAATTCACCACCTTACCCCCCCGTAATCGGTGTTTTTCACGTCTAATCAATAGAGCGGCCTGCATTCCGCTTATTCATTTGCATAAGTTATCGATTGTCGAGATTCCGACCTTCCGTTAGCCTCTCTCACTGATCGTTGGTGCCGTTCTTTCCGGAATTTTTCCCCCTCTCTCTCTCTCTTTCTCTTCTTTCTTTCTCCCCTGATAACGTGAAGAGAGACCACTCTCTCGAGTTCACTTCAAAGATCCGCCATCGATCCCGATCGATGCCGCGTGTAACGATCTACACCTAACATCGCGCTACCTGCCATTATCGGCATCGATCGCTGCTTGTGCTCGTCGGGTTTCGTGGGAGGCATGTTTCACGCTGTACTGAAATTACATTGCGAGCCTTTAGCCGACCTGGGGCCGGGAGATATTCGGGCGTAGAGAATCCTTTTTCTCTCTCTCTCTCTCTCTCTCTCACTCTCTCTCTCTCTCTCTTACTCAGCTCGATAGGTTTATCGCGTGTTGTACGCCACCAGACAGCCGATCGATGCTATTTGCTATATGTTGCACGAGGTGCCGGTAAAAGAGATGTGGTGCAACCAGAGGGAGCATATACGCTTGAGTGAAGGTGAGTCGCACTAAAGCGATAGAGTGAGCTCGCAATCTTTGTTAATCTAATTCGTTGGTGCTCGCATTCGGCAGAGATAACGATAACCCGAAAGAGACAGATGCGTACGCAAAACCGAGGCGGAAGAGTCGGGATGGACCCTGACAATTTTGACGGTGCAAATCGGTTATTTAAAAAAAATGATTACAACTAATCGTAAATTTGATCTTAAATACATATATATATATATATATATATATATATATATATAGATAGCGAGAAAAAAGGCAAAAAATAATCATGCGGTAGAGTCGACGGAAGAATTAAAAAATGCTCGACAATAAAAGACGCTATACTGTCGCTTACAATATACAGGGTGTCCCGTGAGACGTTGTACCACCAGATAGGGGAGAATTTTGACGTGGGGCAACGGGCCGGGAACGCGCCGAATTCCTTCGCATACCGAGACTCACTCGGTGGCACCACGTCACACGAGTCACTCCGTGGCTCTGTCCCAACATTTCACTCTCTTTCCCGACTCGCACCTTTCTTCAGCAACTCCTCCAGGATGTCTCGAGCCGATATCTCAGCGGTTCTCCCTGCCTAATGCGCGCGTTGCGTGACGCATTTCTCGCTCTGCGTGATTCTTGAACGGTACGGTGTGTGAGCATATGTGTATGTGTGTGTGTATGTGTGTGTGGCTGTGTGAGTACACGTGGACTATAGAAGAAAGTGGGTGAATTTTGATGTGACTTGTGCGAGAGAGCGACTAAGGAAAACAACGTGAACCCGGTGATGCCCGGTCACGAGGAGAGAGAGAGTTCTCGACGATGTTACCCACCTGTGGCTCCGAAGTAGGAGGCGAGACTCGGAGATCAAGGATCGAGGGTGGCGGAAAGGGGAAGTTGCTGGCCTTGTTGTTGGGGCAGGTGGTGACGGACACCGAGGACTCGAGGGAGAGCGGGGGCGGCGAGATCGGGAACTGGATCGGCGAGAGCGGCGCGACTTGCTGCTGGGACGACTTGTGATGGTCGGCGTGATGATGATGACGGCGTCGGTCGTCGACGGAGCCCGGGTGGAACGCGGCGGACGACGACGACGTCGACGTAGGCGCCTGCTGCTGCTGCGCTCGCGGCGGTATGTCCTGATACGAGCGGATCTGATGCTTGGTCGGATGTTGGTAGTGGTGATGGTGATGATGGAACTGGTGCTGGTGCTGGTGGTGCTGATGCTGGTGGTGATGGTACTGCTGTTGACGCGAGCCGAGGGCACCTTTCAGTCTTGGCGGGACGACGTTGATCACAGGTGTCGCGGCGCCCTGCTTGTTCAGCTGCAGCCGCTTCTGCTTCCTCCGATTGGCGATGCTAGCACCACCCGCCGCGGCGTACATCGCTGCACCGCGGTCAGCTGTCCAGTTTTTCCTCTGGACGTGTTAAAACAGCTCCGAGGCCGGCGCCCCCGGTTTCCGTTACGAATTATGGCCGCGTTGCATGTTGTCGGTGACGATCGGTCCGTGTCATGTCCTTCGCCCCCTGCTTCTATTCCGAAAGAACTCTTTTTTTTCCTCTTCTGCCCGTTTTTTTATCCTCCCTCTCTCCCCCTCTCTCTCTCTCTCTCTCTCGCTCGCTCTCTCTCTCTCTCTCTCTCTCTCTCGCTCTCTACTTCTCTTTTTATCTATCTATCTTTCCTTTCCTTCCCCTTTTCTCTCTTGCCACTCTCTGGAAAGGCAAGAAACGTGACGGTGCTCCGGTCGCTGTGGCGCCCGTCGTTACACTCTACGTCTCTAAATCGCTACGCGGCAAGCACGTTGAAAGCGGCTCATTTTACGTCGGGTCGAATCACCGCTGATCAGCGAACGCGTAACGCATTATTTATCGGACGACTCGCGCGCATGTCGCGGACGCCAGCTGTGTCACGTGTATGTCTTCAACGTGCCGCAGGTGACTGCGAGACGCGAGAGTTTGTTTCTCATCCTCCCGGAGTCGGGTAGTTTTTCAAGTCTGGCTCAGACGACATGTGATATATATATATGTGTGTGTGTGTGTGTGTGTGTGTGATATTTTGCACACCACATCGCTCACACCGTTCATAACGTGTGTTGTGAGCTTACGTATTACTTCCGTTACGGCTCGCCACGCTTCTTCGGTTATGCGTTCGCTGGACGTTCGAGAAGCAAGGATACGTACTATATTATATGCAGCGAGCAATTCATCCTCGTTGTATATATCTGTGGTAAAAACACATTTAGTAAGCGGGGAGTCCGACAACCCAATAGCACGAAACATCCCGAGGTCGTCCTGTGTCTGTGCTTAATCAAATATCCTGAACGCACTAACGCAATAACGCTGGAACGATCTTGTGTTATCGGGGAAATCGAGTGTCGGTAAAGTGTAAATTTGAAAAATGAATGACACAATACTGTCTAGTTCGAAAGACTAATATTTCGAGAACTTTTCTTCCTGTACAAGATGTATATACAAGTAAGAATGTTTTGCTCCGCCTTGATCTTTTTTTCTAAAGTCTAGAAGCAATGCAAGGAAAGTTACGGATTTACATCTAATTGCTACATCTATGGTTCTAACATAACAACAAGCTCTGTACATACGTAGTTA